ATACAGAGTACATATTATGTTGTGATTCAGTGACTATGTTTGTACGTCTTTATTTACAAAGTACAGATTATGTTGTGATTTCAGTGACTACGGGTTTGTACGTCTTTATTTACAGAGTACAGATTATGTTGTGATTCAGTGACTATGTGTTTGTACGACTTTATATACAGAGTACAGATTATGTTGTGATTTAGTGACTACGTGTTTGTACGTCTTTATATACAGAGTACAGATTATGTTGTGATTCAGTGACTACGTGTTTGTACGTCTTTATTTACAGAGTATAGGTTATGTTGTGATTTAGATAATAACCACTTAGGGAATAATTTATACTGAAGCTCGTTTTGTTTCAACTCAATAACCTTAACTATTTTATACACATGGAATAAAGATTTGGTTATACTTCCAATATAACGTAACAGTTAAGTTTGGTGCAGTAGTGACATCTACAAGTTAAAAGTCCCAAGGTGACTATCGCGTATAAGTTTGAGAAAATATAACGTTACTTACACAAAATGTTTCTAAAACGTTTCTTCAAGTTTTAATTGAACAATAGCAATGCTGTAGCTCTTCTTGCACGTTGACCTTTCACTCCTGATATCCAATGATGGACGGGTGGTAAGTATAGAACAGATAGATAAAGATCAAAAGAGACGGAACTCTGGTTGTAAAAGTTGTCAACAGCTAGTTTATGACCGTTACCCTAGTCACAAGTTTTACATGTATCAAGTGAGGAATTACTTACTGTCCTTGCTCTAGTGCCCTGGGGGGGGGTTAGGGAGATGGAGACACAAAGTCATAACCATCTTTCTCTGAGCAACAATAAATGTCTGTATTCATAGGGGGAGCTTGCTGTACGAGTCTCGAATCTTTTAAACTTCCCTGGACGTTTGCTGTCACAATACACTAGTAACCGAGACAAAAAAAAAGAAAACGTACCGTATCTAATGAAATATATATATATATGTCTTTTCAATCTTATCATATTAGGTTTGACTAAGTTGTTTAATATTTCACGAAATAAACATTTCATTGCTCAAGTTTCGTGTACGCCCTCTGCCGTATTTCAGTACAGGAGTGTCTCATTGATTTGTAACTAGGTTACTTTCTCCTGATTAATAGATTAATACTGTCCGTAAGCTTGGTCTGATTTTTAATATATTGTCCAAAGAAGTAAACGCCTAATGCACGTGAAGCAATGGTTTCGACCTCCAGCCTGACAAGAAAACAACAAGAAAAAAAAAACTTTTGAATTGAAAGATTAAATTTAAAACCTCAAAGTTGAACAGCGCTGCACAAATCCAGTTGTCATGGTAGTATTTACTATTTCCTAATAAGGCGTTATTGGAACGCGCTTTAACGTGATTGGTACGTATTCAAGCAGACGCGATTAAATTAACTAAGCCAGACAAGTAGCTGTATCTTCGGAAGGACTAAAAATACGACATACAAATAGAAAAAATGTATATAGAAAATAACTTACAGTTGTAAAATAAATCCCAAAGTTAAATGTAGATGGCAGTGTTGTTATCAGAACTTCACATTTTTCATGTACAGCGATACTGAACGTCTATTGTTTCATAAACATAGATCCATCCATATTATTATAAACACAGACACTTACAACACTAGAATCCGGGTTTCATACCGGTGTTGAGCAGAGCACAGATAGCTCATTGTGTTGCTTAACTTCAAACAAACATAAAACTTCGTCCACAACAGTTACTAATGACAAGTACTATTTCTAAAACATCAGGTACCGGCCCTATATGTATCTACCAGGTTCGGATATTGTTACAGAGATATCCCACAGAAAAATAAATAAATAAAATGATTTACAATGAAACCAATTGACGTAAAAGAGATATCAATACACGATGAAACTTTGTAGAATGGACGATAACTAACTGCCTGTTGTAAAGACACAAGTGTAGAGGACGACGTTCCGGCGGAAGACTTTCGAAACGTCGTCCTCTACACTCGTGTCTCTACAACAGACAGTTAGTTTCATCATGAATACTCTGCCTAAACAATCTATCAAAGGATATCAATACGTGTGTGTATATTTCACAGCTCATCAGGCGTGGTGCCTGCCTGAGTTTACAAGTGTATTTATCTAGAGTTAGGTTTTCTGAAGTGGACTTAAAGGTGAACTGGTGTTCGGTAGCAGGGCGAGGGGGGGAGTCTCACGCAATTTTACCATATAATTGTAAATTGTTCCTTGTGTAATGGTAATAAATTAATGTTTTAAATAAAACTAAGTTCAACTGACATTTACTTTTTTTTGTTTTTTTTTTCTACAGACGAAACGTGTCATGAAAGTGTGATGTGTGAGGAGGGCGTGTCACCTTGGGTAGCAAAGATTGCGAGAGTTATGTAGGCGCGAGCTATTCGTAACGACGTACAGTAAAACTAACTCATCTTGAAGACCCCCAGTTATACTTGAGGATAATTCAAAAGTTTATCACTTTAACACCACCCAGTTCGAAATCATCAAATAGGAATGCTCCTCGGTTTTAGATTATAAGAGTTTTTTCTCTCCCTATTAATGATTGTTTGTTTTGTTTTTTTTGAATTTCGCGCAAAGCTACACGAGGGCTATCTGCGCTAGCCGTCCCTGATTTAGCAGTGTAAGACTAGAGGGGAGGAAGTTAGTCATCAC